AGCCTTTGCAACTAAAAATTAATGCTGCAAACGGCCTAAATGAAGCTTGAAAATAGCTTTTTTTCTGCTCCAACCAATGATTCACGTGCCTATCTGCAAACAATTCAAATGCAGTAAATTGAGAGGAAATATAAATCAGGTTTCTAAGTGAAGCTGCATAAATCCAATAAATGATTGATGAGAGAATCCTGTTTTAAGACGCTGCTGTCTGTCTCCAGTGCTGAGGCAGAAAATAATGGGGCCTTCGCCTCTTTGGGCCGTGCCGAATGAAGCGAGTTTGCACCGACCTCTGATCCCCACTCAAGGTCAGATGCAGCTTTCTCTCTCCACCTGGCCAAGCTGTCCAAAAAGAGAACTGCAAAATAAGGCTGTGCTCACCCAAGGACCTGGCAGAGATCGTTACAGTCTCTTCCCCAGGGAGGAGGAGGGGAACGGACTCACCGGCTGTGCTGCAGAAGAGCCAGAGCTTGCAGTGCAACCCTGCAAAGCCAGAGAAACGTGGCTACCGGCATGGACCCGCTCCTGCAGTGCATCAAAAGCATGGCTCAAGCCGGCCATGCTCCATGCATCTCTACCTGGTTTCAGGGCAAAGGAGCTGATGTGTCTGACAAATGCTGGCTCTGCAGTAGGACCATACCATGCTCCTCTGCTCTTATGGCAGGTCTGGAGCTGGAGGTGCCATGGTGAGAAGCTCTTGGCCCCTTTCTGCCCTCTGCTGCTCTCTGCACGTGGGGATGTGTGTCCTGCTGGCACAGGGGAGGTCTCAGCTCTGATCTTGGAGCACAACTGTAATGTCAAAGGCGGCTGGAAGGGTGGCTGGAGTTGATGTGTTCCCAGAGCTGATGACTGTGGCAGATGAATGGGAGCGCAGAGACCTGAAGACATACCCAAAAATCTATCCAAGAATTACCCAAGTCCAGCCAAGGCTCCTGCATGCTGCAAGCTATCCTGCTGCTGCCAGTGCAGTGCGGTATCCAAACCTTTGCTTGGAGGTGCAGGGGATAACCCGCTGTGTATGGGAGCAGTTCGCCAGGAAGGGGATTGTGGCCAGAACACATTTCTCATATGTAGTTCTTGGTCTTCATTCCTTGCTCTCCATGTGAGCAGCAGCTCCAGTGACTGTGCCCGGGGTGCTGGGAGGTGTGTGCTCCTGCCCGGCTCTGTTCCTGGCGTGGAGCCACCCGTGCAATGTGCGTGGCAGACAGCCGGCAGACCCCGCACCTCCAAGACACCAGCTTCTGACCTGGTGACTGATGTGAGCACCGAGCCTGCAGTGAGTGATGAGTCTTTAAGACACCAGCAGGTCACTTAGCAAACCCCTGAGGGAGACTGTCTGAGAAACAGAGGGGATCTGGGTACCCTGTCCAGCTGCCAGTGTCCTGCCTCCAGCACAGAGCTGGTGCCAGAATATCCCAAGTCCCCTGAAGGGCCAGTTGCTCATCCTGCTTGGATTGAACAGCTCTGCATTTGCAGATGGGGATGTGTCACATGCTGCTGATGCAGCCCTGAGAGCTGGCAGTCACGAGCAGCTTTTTCCATCCACAGAGTGATGGGTGCGTTTGGAAAGGGACAAACCTCATATGAGTTGCTCTGCAGCCCTAGAGTGGAGGACAATACTTCTGGGGTGCCACGTTTCCCATCTCTTCTGGGGATGGAGAACCTGATAAACAGCGGGCTCCTGGGGACCACGTGGTACTGGGCTGTGCCCCACTATTCCTGCTTTGAGCTGTGTCAGCTTGGGTTGTAGCAGAGCAGATCACCCCTGAACAGACCTTGCATTTCACATCAACCATTGCCCTCATCCTGCCCCACCACCAGGCTGCCAAAAATGCAAGGGGAGAGGACAGTTTGCTTAGGGAGGCAGCAGGGCAGCAGCAACGTGATGCTCTGGCTGCCAAGGTGCCGGGAAGAACCTGAGCAAAAACCAGAGCCACGTGGTTCCCTGCTTTGCGTTGGGACTGGGAAGTTCAACCACTTTTTTCTGCACCTGACAGGTCAAGACAGCTGCCACCAGCTCCTGCTTCCAGGCAGCCTAGCATAAATCAGCATCAGTGGAATGAGGTGGCTTGTCTCTGCTCCAGGTTGTCCCTGTTTGGATTTGGCTCTGACACAGTTTTCATGAAAAATTTATTTTGTGAGAAAATGGATTTTCAATCAAACCAGGCATTTCTGCATAAAATATTGTTTGCGTTGACATTTTCCCATTTTTTTTCAATGATACAGTTCCCTTCCTTTCTTCTCCCACCCTCTTCCAAAGAGACAAGCACAAAAATAATTCAGAAGCAGTGTTAATTTTTCAGTGAAAGTGTCTGGGTTTGGGTAACAGAGGACTGCATATTTTTAGAGAAAATCAAATATTTTTCATCAAAACAGAAAAAAAGTCAGTTTTCAGAAATGAAACCAACAACTGTTAACGTAGTGGGGAAATTATAACTATCTGGTGAATAGTTTGCAGAGAGAAATTGGTCTCTGTAGCTGGCCAGCCTACAGCACAGGAGGAGGGTGCTGTGTCTCACCCAGCCCCTCGGCTCTACAGCCCTGACCTTGCAGAGCCATGGGGGGAGTGGGGACAAGAGCATCAGTGGCCTCGGTTCCCTCCTCTTGCTCATGGCCAAAAACCCAGGATGACTTTCTCTGATGGGATTCACTGCGACCATCTCCCTGCTCTCAGCAGGCTGTGCCCAGTCCTGCTTTCGATCCTAACGAGGCTGGATCAGGCACCAAATTAATCTACTCTGGTGACAAACAGCATGTTGTGCACAGGAAGGAGGAGGCAGTATCTGGGGTCCCGGGGGATGCCCGCTCTGTAATGGAGCTGATTTCCACGCATGCCATGTGGGCTAGCTGCTGCTGGGGAGATTGCCAGCCCCCGGTGCCCTAGATTCGGCTTCCTTCTGCCCTATTTCTGCCTGGCTTGTTGACAGGCGGAGGAAGGCTCGGCTTTCCAAAAGCTCCCTGTGACAAAAGTCTCTTACAAAGGCAAAGGCTTTGCTTCATCAAGCCATGATGGATAGCCCCTGTATCTGCCTGGGCACAAGTGAGCATCCCTCAGCAGGCGACTGTGGGTCCTCCATCCTTTGGGTGTTTGGCTCTGCTGATGCAGGGCTTGGGACCAGCACGGGAAAGCCCAATGCCTGGGCTGCGGCTATGAGACAGCACCAGAGGACGAAGCAGCAATTTCTGAGACATGCAGAAGAAAGCGTCCCACATTCCCACCCATGTGTTTTGGGGGGCAGAGACCGCATCTCCCCACACAACCCTTTGTCTTTATCACAGCTGAGCTAATCAGTGGGAAAGGTCTTCGAGGGATCCCCAGCTGTCCTTGCTGAAGTTATCTGATGTTAACTCACAATCTGTGATCCCGCAACAGCCCTGAGCTGGCTATTCATTCCCACTCCCTGAGCTGGCTCATCCTGGGAGCAAAGGGTGCTGGTGCAAGAGAAGGGTTGGGGCTGAGGCCGTGGCTACGTAGAGCAGTTGAAGCTGTCAAGGCACTGTACTCTATCTACTGCATGGGGGATCCTGCTGGCTGCCCTTTAAGGAGCAGAGCTAACTCTGGAGAGGCCTCAGCAAGATTCACCCTGCCAGCTGTGGCTGGCAGCTGGCTAGGCATGTAGTCTTGGGAAATTCTTGCCATTTTCCAGCTCTTGCTCTTTTGCAGGACCAGCAGAATTTCTCAGTGTAGAGACATTTGTCAATTTGCATAATTAAAGCACTGCAAACTCAACCAGATTCACAGATCCCTGTGCTGGCTCCCCTGAGACTCACCACTTCTCTCCCATGAATTATTTATTGGCAGCACTGTTTCAAACGGGCCCCTTTGTCTGCTGCGTTTGCTCCGGATTTCATCTCCCCAAGGAGGAGACGATACTGTGGTCCTCTGAGGCACAGCATGGGGAAAGGAACAACTCCATTTGCCACAGCCCTTCCTTTTACTCTGCCCATCAGGTGAGAACAAGGGAACTCCTGTGCAGGCAGCAGAGATTCCCGTGGAGCTGCCTGTAGCAGAGCAGCCACAGCCTGCAGCTGGGGCTGCAGTCTCCACACTGCTTCGTACCTCTGGGTGCATCATCAGGAGGGGCTCAGGGTGCCTGGCACCTCTGCCCCTGTGCGCTTGCCCACTTCTCCCTGCGTGGGATGATAGGTCTTTGCGTGGGACAGGCTGCAATACCTCTCCAGCCCCGTGTGCTATGGGGAAGCAAAGGGGCAGTCTGTGAGCAGCTACACTGCAGCCGGGCACCCTGAGCTCTCCCATGTGCTCCCCTTCTCCCGGGACGCTTTGCCTCTAGTGAGAGCATCCATTAACTGGTTTGCTTGCCAGAAACCACATTTCCCTGGTTCAGGCACACAAAAAGTAACAGATAACACAAGAGAGAAAGCCAGAGAGACAGAGGAAGGCAGGAGCAAGTGGTAAGTACATAGAGACGTCGCTCATATTTGCAGGCTCTCCCTGCTGGAGTCGAGTGTGTGCTTGTAAATCCCACATCAGAGGAATACAAATATTTGTGCTGTGGAAACACTTCTGATGAAGTCCTGGAGCTCCCCTTCTCAATTCCTTTTAGCCTTTCGGAGGCCTGTTTGCTTCTCGGTCTGTGGGAGCCCTGCAGACAGCGTGGCTCTGGCAGGCAAACCCCTGAACATCCGAATGCTGCGGCTGCTTCCATGTCCCATGGCTGCAATGGCTCCCTACTGGCAGAATCCACAGCACCAGGAGCTCAGCACTGCCCAGCAAAGATGGGCAAAGATGCAGCTGCTGTCCCTGCATCTCTCAGCAATATCTGCAGAGCAGGGTGGGGCCGAAGCAGGAATGAAATCAAAACGTAGAGGTCCCAGTGCTGAGTAAATCAGAGTAAGTCCAGGTGTCAGCTGCTGCATACAGCTTTGCTAAACAGTGGTGCAAAATGATCTGAGGACGGAACACCCGAGCATGGGATGATGCTGGGGCAAGGAGTGGTCCAGCGAGACCAGAGCTGCGCTTTCCAGTCTGATACGCCAGACTGATGTTTCACCCTGGACCTGGACCTGGACCTGGACCTGGACCTGGACCTGGACCTGGACCTGGACCTGGACCTGGACCTGGACCTGGACCTGGACCTGGACCTGGACCTGGACCTGGACCTGGACCTGGACCTGGACCTGGACCTGGACCTGGACCTGGACCTGGACCTGGACCTGGACCTGGACCTGGACCTGGACCTGGACCTGGACCTGGACCTGGACCTGGACCTGGACCTGGACCTGGACCTGGACCTGGTGAGGGAGTGAGGGAGTTTGCAGTTGAAAATTCAGCCCTAAAAAGTTGCGATCTGCCAAAATTGCAAGATGCCTGCGCAGTTCTCATCCTCTCCCCACCCATGAATATGTACGTACAGCGATGTGGCTTTTAATAACATAAGCACTTGCTATTCGATCTCCTGGAGCTGTGCCAGCCCCGAGGCTGCCACGGGAGGGAAAGGCAGCGGTGGGGGCTGAACCGGGAACGCCGGGGTTGGCACCGGGCAGGAGATTCGCGGTGCTTTGCTATCGTGGGCCCTTTTGCCGCCCGCCGAGCTGGGCTGGGGGGGCTCCTGGCGATGCTGTTGGTGGGCTTCACTGGATATACAGCTGAAGGCTTCGTACTGGGGGCTGGAGCGTTTATTCTGGAGAGCCTCGGCTCTCGCTGTGCTCATCAAAAGGTGTGATCACGCCTGCAGGGGCGAGGCCCGTGTGTGTAATTTTCAGCTCCTATCCCCTTCGTTAAATCAGACGAGGCGAGAAATGGTACAATGCAGTTGGGGACTATTGTGAAAAACCTCTGCAAAGGATTTTCACAGTGTGATGGAAGCTAGAATATTCATCTGGGCTTCTTAGTTTTTATTTTTATTTATTTATTTATTTATTTTTCCTGGAGACTGCTGTTGCTGATGTATTATTTATATAGCAGGAAATTAGACTCTGAGGACTCAAGTATTCTTCAAATAAGCTTCCTAATTCTGTCAATTAAGAATGCACAGGCTGCTGGGTCTCTGGCTTGGGAAGAGCCGCAGAGGAGTGAAAGCTGCCCCTGGTCATTGCTCTGATGTGCTGCATCGACGGCACACTACAGATATTTCAGCTGGAGGAAAAAGATCTTGGTCCCAAAATCAAATGCGTGAGATGCTAGGAGCGTTATATACAGCAGCTCTTGCTGATTTCAATGGGACAAATAGCTTCCCTGTGCTCTGGCGGGGGAATACTGAAGCCCTGAATGTGTGGTCTCTCGTTATGTTCTGTAATGAAATCTGGTGCTTTTCATTGCTGTTAACAAATGGCTGCCAAAGCTGGGAGACCACTGTTATGAGTTAGGGGTCATTTACTCTCTAATTAATGCAGTAATTCTTCATGTGCTCCCGGTGTAGTTCTACAGCAAATGAGTTGACATGTAATTAATACATAAAAGAGCATCTTCCTTCCTTTACCACCTTTCCTTAACCGACGGGCATCTGTAAATGGGTTTGGAAGTCTCCTCCTGCACTAGGGCACGGGGATCTGTTCCCAGCCATGGAAGAGGGCTTGGGCACAGGGCTGCAGGATGGGCTGTTCTCGCCTCCCACAGGAAAGGGAATGTCATGGGGCAGAGGAAAGGAGGAAGCAAACCGTCCCCGAAATGCAGCTGGGCATGGGGCCACGCCACGAGCTGCCGGCACCAAGCTGGGAAACAGAGTGTTCCCTTCTACCTGCAAAATGCTTAGCCCCGATCTGTGACTGAAGATGTTCATTTCGTGGCCAGGAAAAAGCAATGGGGGGGTTGAGGCGACGCTTGCCAGCACATTTACAAATGCTTTGGTGCATTTTCTGCACAAGGAGGTCAGGCACAGGAAGAGCTACATGCTTGTCCTCCCCTTAATGTTGCTACGAGAAAGGTGAGACCTCTCAGAGGACAAACCCTTTGTTCCCTTCTGTCTTTTATGGGCTGGACAACGTCCCTTCTACTGCCCCACAAGCACACTGTGCTCCCCAGCTGAGGGAAGGAGGTTTATGGCTGCAGCATAGTTTTTCTTTTTTTCTTTGCTACGAATTTAATGTCCACTGCAAATGCAGATCTCTCCATCTGGAGGAGGAATAAACGCCTGCACTGTCTGCTCTGCATAGGAGTGATAACTCATTCTGGAGGACAGGGACACATCACTCTGTGCAGCACTTGCACGAGTCCTGCCAAAGGGCTCTGGGGACGGGACTGCCACTACAGGCGAACACCCTCACTGCTCTGGGTGAGGGCTGGACAGGTGATCCCTCTTCTCCTGGGGTGATCTTCAGTACTGCATGCCAAGGACCAGTCCAGAAAAGGATTGATTCCTATGTGCCCCTGGGAGCATGGGCCTGGCCCCTGTGCAGGCAACGATGCCCCCACCATCCTCCAGCTCTTCCCAGTCCCCAAAACCTTGCAGATGACACCACAGTGACTTACTTGCACACTTGAAGTGAGCTGTGGATCCCTAGTCAGAGAGGAGGAGAGAAATAATTTCTCTTGCTTTCTGTAACCCTTTATGGCCTTGGCACTGTATCTCTCTCACTCTCCTTTGTTGGCTAAACAAGTTTTCCCTCCCAGCCTTCTGTAACACCATCCCTTTGTTGAAAACCCTAGCTTCTGGGAGTATGGGTTTAATTTTTAAAGTAGTTTATAGTCATGACGGCTGTGGAAAAAGATGCAATAACTCACCCATTTGGATTCACACAGCAGAACCACAAATCAATGGATCCACAACGCTGATTAGCTGTAAGAAATGCCATATGCTGTTTTAGCGCTTGTGTATCGCATAGACTTGTGCATGGGGAGCTGGATGTGGAAAGTGTCCTTTCCACCATTTTCCATGCAGCCGTGCAGCCAGAGCCTAAAACATGGGCATGTCCCTGTGCAAGCAGCTTCGCATGAGAAGCAGAGATGCTGGAGAGTGGGCGTGGCCCCTGTGCTACTTTCATGGCTGCTGTAGGATGGTAAAGCATTGACGGTCCAGTCTCAGCTTCCCTGGGATCATGGAGCATGACCGCCATCAGGCAGGGTGGTGCAGAGCAGAGCTGAGAATAGCTCTGAGGATGAGCGTGCCCCACCCTTCTTAATCCATGGGCTTTCATCTTTTTTGGCTGTGGCAATGCCCAACGCCTCCCCAAGTGCTTTCCAGAATCTGGCTCTTAATCCCATGTGTCCCTGGCCCTTGCTTTCTGTTTTCCTGCCTGCTATTGGATGCAGCCCTCTTGGTCATCTCCATCTCATGTCCACTGGCTGCCCCTCTATCTCGTCCTCCCGTGCCTGCTGTTGCGGTTATGGTGGCTTCAGTTCAGTTTTGCCCTTGTGCTGGTTTCTGTCTCTGCTTCTCAGCAATGCACGTGGGCCAAGAGCAGCATATCCTCCCTCTGTGCACAGCGTAGCCCACCGCTGACCCTCGGATACTGCGTGAAACCAACAAACCGATAAATAGGGAGCAAGACTCAGCTCTGAATCACAAAGACTTCAACTCATGTATTGAGTTAGAGAGAGAAAAGCTGCCAGCAGGCACTCACTAGCAGGCTAGTTCTTCTTCTCTATAGAAGCTCATGAAATATAAACCTCACATGGCATTAGACTTCTCCCTGTCCTTCATGCTTATGGGGGAATAAATGCTTTTCTTTTCAGCTCTAGTGAATGCAGGGCTGAGCCTCTCCATCTGAAAACGCCAGGTTTGCTATGGAAACCAGTCCCTGTTATGACAGCTCTCCAGTCCTCATCCAGGGAGGAATCAGAGACAAGGCTCTTGGGTTGGAAACAATGAACACAAGAGAGGCACCGATCCTCTTCTACACCTCGCTGGGGCAAGCGTGGAGTAACTCCCTGCTTGGCTGGCCTTGCTCTCAATTTGGGAGGGCAGTAATGGAGAGGGGGACTTGACGCAGGGAGGGAAGCACAGCAGAAAGCTCCCCATTCTGCTCATTTCTAAACTGATCCTTTTCTTCCTTGCTATTCCTATTCTCTATTCTTCTTCTTTTTCAGTCCTTCCAGATAGGAAGGTATAGAAATATAAGCCACAGTGTTTTAAAGATGCAGCACACTTACAAAACAAGGATATATGTGGTTAAAAGTTTGCACTCTGTTGGATTATTCCTGCTTTTCTACTTCTCAGGAGACAGATCTTTGCAGGGACCTGCCAGCCGTCTCCTGGGGATGACTGTGCTCTGCAGTGGGCTGTGGGCGAGAATGAAGAGCAGGACAGTCCTGGAGGGCATTTGCCTCTCATTCTCAGACATCTCTGTCACAGGTGTGATGCTCAGCAGAGATGCCACGCAATGGTGAGGAACAGAGGAAGCCATCTGGGGTTTGCCTATACACATTACTGAGCCCCTGCCTCTGCTTCCAAGGTTGTCCATGGCCGAGCAGCTATCTGCCGAGCCGGGAGACATCAGAGAGGAGGGTCTGTAAAGCAACAAGGCATCTAGTGGGGCAAAATCTACTACACTCAGGTTCCACACAAGTTGTCACTGAAGGCCCTTGCGGGAGGTGTCACTTCAAAAAAAGGCCGATCAGCCCCATATGGATATGTACATCTGATCTGGTTGTCCAGTGGCATTTATTTGACCAAACCTGAATGTCTACATCTAAGCAAGTCTATTTTGCACTCTTTACAGTCAATGGAGTCCAGAGCATGATGTTTCTCTTTCTAAACACCTGGACTTTCTCAGCTGAATTGTGTCCCAGAGTCTGTAGCCCAGACTGATCTGATCCCCTCCCCCAAATTAAAATAGTGAAATGCAACTGCAAACATCATCTAATCTCTGGGATCTCTGGTACACAGCAAATCCATGCTTGCATCGGAGCTGGCCCTTAAAGAGGGGGAAACAGGATTTCATAAGATTTATGGCTGCCATAGATCATCTCCAGGACCCTTTTTGGGGGGTCTCTGGCCCTCACATTCACCACAGTAACCCTCCAACCAGTCCCCAGCATCGCTGCTGCAGGCAGGAGAGCCTCTGCTGCTTCTGCAGCTGACACCAGGTCCATAAATCACCTCACCCCCTTCTGCCTGCCTGCCCTCCCCAGGAGTACTTAAATCAACTCTAAATGAGCTCATTTAAGGAAATACAGGCAATCAGTGGTGAATTATTGCAAGGCACAAGGGCTTTCTTAAAAGCGACGAGCACTTATTGGTCATCTGGACTCCAGAAGGCACAGCCCTTTAAATCAAAACCCACAGGTTGGACTAAGCAATGCCTCTGCCATGCTTCCTTGAGCAGAGTCTGCACTGATGGGTTGTCAGCATCTTCCT